ACTGATATAATATGTAAGCTGTCTTCGGACAGCCCACCCGTTTGAACTAATAAAGTGCCAGGGGCCTAAGTGGTCACTTAAATATTAAAAAAAAAAAAAAAAGATGCATATAATACATTGAGAATGGGTGCAAAAAAGCCTACTGCGCTTATGGAAAGATTTCTAAACTTCATAGTATGTTAAATTTTATTAATAAAATTCATATTGTAAAAAGTTACTAAAATATATATTTTTAAAAATTAGCCAGGCTACTACGGTACTAAAGAATGTCTGCTATTCAATCTACACTTAGCACACTTATTACATCAAATGAACTGATATATGAAATGACTAAACCTCAAAGTCCCGATGAATACCTTAGTGAGATGCTCGTCCCTAAAGTCACTATTAGATTAATAGCTCAAGATCGGCAAATCGGATTAGATAAAGCAAAAAAAGTAATGGAGAATAGTGTGAAATTTGGAATATATATACATGATATAGAGTTGGAGGACTTGGAAAAATAGCTATAGTGTAAAAGTGATGTTATAGTTTGAAAGTTATTGCAATCAATTAACATATAGACAGTGCCTTGAAAATATTTTGAATAAAATTTTGGTTGGAAGATCAAATATAATTATTCAAACTGCTACATAATAAATTTTATATTAATATGGTGGTACTTGAACCCATATTCGTAATGCAAGTTATATAGATTATACGGTTATATATACTTTATTAAATAATATCTGATATTACCCTTATTTACATAATGTGATTCTTATAGTATCGTACGATCAAATAAATCTGTATTATGTTAGTCTTATAATGTCATACGGTCTGATGCACATGTATTATTTAATGGTATTGAACTCGCATATTAGTCTATAGATTATAGATAAATTTCGTGGCCACGTGATGATGTGCGCTAAAATTCCATTGGCCAATTTAAACTGCAGATCATCAATAGTAATAGTAATAGTTTGAGCATTCAGGTTAGAGTTAGAGAAGGCTTATATACAGCAAAATTTTGCCAGCAGTTTGGTTTGTTTTACATTACGACCATTCCTTGTATCATAATTGGTTTGAAATCACGTGCCTGCAAACTTTTTATGCGTATAGTGCCTTTATATAGTAACATACGCCATCCTTGAATAGTTATGTCAGAATCATATTTCTAACCATATTATTATAATTATCCAATTTCGTAATAGTATCAAACGGCAGTCTTAAATTCACAGAACTAGGAAATCAGAATCTATCACTGACGCATATCATTCTCGATACTCAAAACTTTATTTTTATTGGCTTTTTCCGCCGGACATTACATAATAATCCTTGTAATCCTTTGCACAATTACCAGTCTCAGCGGATTTCATATAATTCTCAAATGTTATCTCTTAATTGGTAGAGATTTGCAGGCAAATTTGCCTGCATAATTACTATAAATACATCTATGATCTACTTTTTTAATTA